ACCCCCACCCCCACTCCCACCCCGGGGACCAGCCTTATCTCCTGTCAGGGACTTTATCCAGCTAGAATGGGCCCCTCCCTCTCTCCCTCACTTGCAGGGGGCACTTGGGCACCGTGCAGAGCCCGGTATCCGAGGCCACCTGCCGGGTGGCACGAGGGTGGAGAGGCTGGCTGGGCTCTCGGTCGGGGTCTCCTCGTCAGCTCGGCGGGCGCACTGGGAGCCCCTCTCGCCTCGTGGGGCACGGGCTGCCTGCCACCGTCACGGTCACCATCGCGCCCCAGCCTGAGGGTGAGATGGTCAGGAACAGACCCTGACCCCGGGACTCGCTGCCCATTCAGGGCGGGGACCCACCAAGGGCAGGGAGATGGCTGAAGCAACAGGTATTGCAGGGGAGAGGCATGGGGGGGGGAATCAGCAAAAAACGATAATTTTGAAGCTGCAGGAAACTCACTGGCCGCCCCTCCTGGCTGGGCCGACGTGGCGTCTGTGCTGCTCATGGTCGCTGAGCTGTTCTGCGAGGCGGACGCTGCAGACGACAGAGGAGTTGCCCATAGAGAGGGGAAGGGAGGTCACCGGGTGGCGGTGCCTGACCCTCCCTGTGGACAGGGACTGGTGTCGCGTCCGCTGTGGTCATCCCATTGCCTCTAAAGACGCCCGTGCTCTGGGCTGTCCTTGGAACCGGCTTGTACGCCTTATTGGCTGCCCCGTAAATCAGTGAACTAGCAGCTTGTCCCTCGCTCACTTTATACTTGTTTCCAACTCATGATTTTACCCTTTAAAAGATTCAACACGAATCCCCCTGGTAGAGAGCAATCAGGGAAGGCTTCCCCGAGGCAGTGACCACTGGGCTGAGCCTGGAAGGGGCATCAGGGAGTAAGAAGGTGAGAGGGGGGGAAAGAGCACATGCAAAGGGCCTGCGGCCGGGGGACATGGGAACATTCCGGGAACTTGCCCCGTTCCCCGTCCCACCCGGCAGCCTGGCCCAGCCCGACCACGGCCTCCCGGTGTCCTCTGACGACCCTGTTCCCTGGGACCTCTGCTCCCCTCACTGTCCCCACCAACCCCACTTCCCTCGCCGGCTCCAGGCGGCTGAGAACAGCGGCTAAAACTGGGTGTGGGGCAGCTGGGGTCAGAGCTCAGCCCCAGCAGTGACCAGTCTGCGGCTGGGGGAGCTTGTTGGGTCGCTCCGCGAATCAGTGTCCCCGCCCATGAAGTGCAGAAAACGTGAAAAATCTAGAAACGGTGGGGACTTGCTGAGGGGCAGAGGGGCCAGGTAACGGGGATCTGAGTGGAAGCCTGTTGCCAACAAAGGGGGGCTTGGTTCTGTTTCACCTGGTGGAACCCCCCAGGGGAAGGCCAGTCTGAGCCCCTGGTTGTACCGGTCGGGAGTGGGGGGCTTGGACATCAGCTGCCCACCTTAGACAGGCATCGCCTTGGCGCCCTGCGTGGGCCCGGGGGCTCCTGGGGGCGGGCGATGCTAACACAAGGAGCACAGGTTAGCCGCGCCGAGCTCCGCGTCCACCAGACTCCCCATCTCTCTTCTCCCCAGCGGATGAGGGGCCTCCCCCCCCCCCGAGACTGGCTATCATTTCACTTTCAAATTTTATAAATCGGCTGGGTGTAAACGTGGAAACTTCTAACTCTGCCTGCCTCGGGTTCCTGTTGAGCCCGACC